GTAAGTGTAAGAGAACGAGCGAGGCGAGATTAGCTTTCCTGATTTAATGAGGGGAAACCCGTGAGTATAACGGTTTTAGGCGTGCATTGGAGCGCCGCTTTATCTAAATGTACAAAAAATGCTATTACTAATAGAAATAAAGACTGTGGAGGCGTTAACTTTTAAAATGCTGCATGTTCAGACGGAATAAAAACGTACGGAAGGGTACCGAATCAAGGACAACTCTTAAATACCTGCACATTGCCTACACATATTAGTGATTGTAAAAACAAACTTAAATGCATTACATCATAATAGAACCCGGTAATTGCAGTAAATCTTGCATAAACCATTACTTTAACCTAACCTAACCTCTGATGTTTCATCCAAAGCGCAGTCGGGGATAATAACTCCGGTACCTAGCATCGACTAAGCCCGACAATAAACTCTGACCTACTCTCAAACGTAAATACGACGCTAACTGAAACTCCAACCATAATGGAGAGGAATTATATATAATAACAAACGGCGGGTTTTCTTTCGGTGGTTGTTCTGCTCGTCATTATGAAATTTCCATTTAAGGAATTTCGCCTGCTACTATTGCCTCAAAGTTGGTGCGCGGTTATCGCCCTCATAGACATATTCACAAGATGTGAACTGAATATCCTTCGATGAACAGGTTGGCTCCAGAAATAAACAAGTTACTTAAAAAAAACAGAACGCCAAAGACGTCAATAAAAAGAAACTAAAAAAGTTGAAACAACAACATCCGAGGCCGTACTTTTACTTCGAAGAAATGCATCAGCATAACATAAACCACCGCAAACTGGTCGACAGATAAGGCTCTATGCACTGATGGTTTGCATGATAATTTTCTATTAAGCTAAAACGCGAAACAATTGTAAAGAACAATTCCGGACCGTCATCGAGTAATCTGCCTCACCCCTCGCAAATACCACCGATGGCCCGAGGTCTAGCCAGCATATTATATTTTTTCTTTTCAATATAGAATTCCCTATTTTACCGACTTCAGAGTACCTGTCTGCTATTGGCGTAATCGTATAATTGGTCTTTAAATTACACGTATAACAGAGTATGACGAAGAATATTAAGGAATAAGAAAGACAACTAGGAAGGGATGAAAAGAAACTACGAGCATTGCTTTGAGTACGAGATTCGTACACAATGACTTGCGTCTGTTTCAGTTGTTAACGTAAGACCTCAAAAAATAGGCATTGATTCGATATTATCTCGACGAATTTTAATGCCAGCAAAACTTAGTCCTTTGCGTTATAGCGGTCTCTTGCAAACAAACATGCAAGGACATCAGTAAAAATGAAAAGATGTCTGGTGTAGAAAGTTCAACTTGTCGAACAAAGATCAGTTACACGTCGAAGAAAATTAACGAAACATTTTAACCGCAGCCACTTACATGCAGATGAAGTAAATGGAGTTTAACGTCAACAGAATTATCCATGAGGCAGTTGCAGGTAATATTTCTACAATTTGACTCCAACTCATATCTATTTAAGTCACATCGTCCAACTTAGAGTTCTGCACGGCGACTAAATGCGATACGAAACCGCATCAAAAAAACCTAAGCATATTCCCCGGCGCTTTGTATTTCCCGTAGGTCAAATTGAATATTAAAACTAACGTCGGCCTTTCTAAATGGTTGATTACACCTCCTTCGTCAGCTTGCCGATAAATTATCGTATATTGTGTCGAAAAGATATCTAACAGGTATGGGACAAATACTCGAAGGAGCAATTAAGTGGTAAGTAACGAAAAATCAGTGGAATACACAACGGGGCCGCGGTATCCTAAACGGGAGCAAAACCATTAGTATTATTAGGGAATGGACGAATCCTAAATACCTTGTTGCTTTTCGACTATAATCTGCCGTAGTAGCCAAGTGTCAATACAATACCAGACAGTCACAGGTTGGGAAACTAAAGGTCCATAGTATTAAATTATCTTCTTACCGGTTTTTTCTTCTTGTGGAAATTCTGATATTTTCACTGGGACTTATCTCTATACATATGGCATCTCAGTAATCCGCAAAAGTTTAAACTTTTAACAAGCATATTTCAAGAGTTACAATAATTTTATATTCAATAAGGTCGACTGAAATGCGGTGCTTCTTCAAATTACTGCGTTTATTTCGTCCTAATTATATGAAAACGAAACACTCCTACATCAAGTATTTTTTTGCTCTCATTGTTGACGAACATCTTAATAACTATGCTCGTATTTGTCTTTTGAAAAGAAATACTTCCAAAGACGCCATTGTGTGTCAGGTCTTTCGCAGTCGACACTACCCTCAAGTCTCCACTTCCGGTCAAATTACTAGCAAAAGTACTGATGGAGCTCACTTGCGAAATCAGCGGACCGCTTTGCAAGTCCTTCAGTCTTCTTTGGAACCAGGGAGTCTCTACACTGACCTGGATTTTGCAAATATATACCTTATCCACAAATATAGGTTCAGAGCGCGCAAGGAGGGTGGCATCGGATAGGGTAGCCATGACCTTGTTGAAAGCAGCGAGGGCTTCTGCGGATAGCTTGAAAAAAACTTTGGGGCCTTAGAAGAAATTCTTGGTTGGCAGAATGGTGTCGGCATAGTTGTGGGGAACCGGCTGTACAAGTGCATCAGGGTCACAAATCACTAGAGCTGACGCTTGAAAAGGGCGGTGGGAATTTATGGATGGCAACAACTTTCGGTAGGAGATGATAGATGTCATTGGTGTCACCCATCCTCGGTATCCAGGAGCCCATAAGAGAGGGAGCGCCGAAGACGCACGTGGATGGGTTCAGGACAGCGCCAAATTGTTGAAGTCGACCAAACACCATTGCGAGGTGCTCTATGTGGTTGATGTTTTGGCCCCGCTAAGCTACCTTGTCCCCTAGGATTTCAAAATCCTCCACTTTTAGAACGATCTACCATAAAGGACTTAGTTCTGTTTTACACAAATAAACTAGCATTATTGCCTAATGCGGATCGAACTTCTCCGAAGGCTGCACAAATATGTGGTTTTATATAGCATAATCTCTCCCTTCTGGAAAAAAGTTAAAAGTGTACCGCATGTTTGTTCTTCCCATCCTAGAATACTGCTGTCCCCTTTTTGATCCAATGAATGCCTCTGACCGCGGTAAGGTTGAAAATGTTCAGAGGGTTTTTACTCGGAAAATATTTGCTCTTTCTCGATCCACTATTTCTTATACGGAGAGAAACCAGTTAGCGAACATGACATTTCTTTGGGTAAGAAGACCCGAAGCGGGCCTCTGCTTCCTATTTCAACTTAAAGCTAGCTCTAACCTCCCACGGATCAACGCTCTTATTTCGGCAGATAGGTCTTATGCCACTCGTAATTCCTCTATGATAATTTCACCACCATTTAGCTCCACATGTAACCATTGTCGTTAATTTGCCTCCAAATATGCCTTCCTCTTGAATACTATTCCCCTTTAAATTAGACTGTTGTCTACCTTAGCGGTTTGTAAAGCCAAATTATGTGAACATTTAACTTCGGAAGATATTAAGTCCTTTTTATGCGTCTCCTTCCCAAACACATAACATTTGGACTTTGAAAAGGGTCCTCCTGGTATTTGAGGCAGTCCCATTTACGTTAAATTGTTTTCCATATATGTCTATTTTATCCTCTATAGGGGGATATTTGCGGCGGTGTTTCGTTTTCTACTCTCTCCAATCATTTTTTCTTTTCTCCGTTCTCCGTTTTACAACCCTGACGATGGGTTTCGCGGTCGCTAGTAATGCTCCTGGCGGTTCTGCTGCCTTTGCCAGCTTTTCGTTGGACTCTGCAGTGCACAAGGTTGCATCTCCAGCGTTTCGGTGATGCTCTCGTAACGTCTTCCGTCCCCATCCTCTCGACTCTGTTGTCCACGATGACCTCTCCCCTTTCTCACCTCTCTGATGGGTGATCCTGGGGCCAGTCGGGCTGTGGTACGATGGTGAACGGTAGCTTCTGCTGCTATATGATTTCGCCAACGCCGAGAAGCCTTTCGAACCCTCACACATTCTCATAAACAGTCCTGTCTCAGTGTATCGCAACAATCCCATCAACCAAACTCTTAATTTCTATAAAAGCAGTTTTCTCTTCTGCGTTTTGTTATTTTAAAGAAGGGGTCCGCTGAAATCTGCCCACGATTTCATGGAAGGAGTTTTTTTACTGCTTCATCCTCAGTTCACCATACTTTTCAGAGTGTTGACTATCATTTCAAATAACTATATGTTGGCGGATATGAAACTATCCGCTTATCATACTAAACACTTCTGCTGCCTATGTTGTTGGTCACACAGAGCAGCATATATCCACATCGTATTTGTTTTTACCACAGCATTAAGTTTGCAGTGACGAGGCCCTCCTGGTCTAAAATGCAAATATTTATTTATTTAAAACTGTAGCCCTCGACCATCGCGGAAGTTTTGAGAGACTGGCCTTCGAAAACTACGAACAGATAGCCTGAACTAAGAGAACCGAGGTCAGATGGACAAGGCTTCCACGAAATGTCAAACCAGTGAAAGCGCAGTCCATTATTCCAAACAATCCGGAGCGGTACTTGCATAATTATTTTTCACTACGTTTTGATTATAACTGATTTGTAAGTGTTGCATTGCAAAGCGGAAGCAAAACAACTTGAACTCGAAATTTAATTCGAGAATATCCTTAGTCGGACTTCGGATCTAAAACCTCCTGGGCCTAAAGAAGCTGAATGCTTTAAACCGATTCTAGTACATCGCTGTCAGTGCTACTTAGGGAGCGCTCCAAACCCATAGGTCCCTTAACCAAGGCCTATCTCGATAGTTTAGTGGAACTTCGTCGAAACGAAAATATCTTGCATGCAAGACTGGACAAAGGCTCAGGAATTGTGCTGGTGGATAAGGAAGATTATTTGGCAAAAATAGAAGAAAACTTAACGAATCGCACAAAGTTTACAGAATCTGATAAAGAAAAGGGCCTAACGGAGGCCGTTGGATTTGAGTTGACAAAATTACCTCAAGAGCCTCACAGAGAAGGACATTGATTTAACAAAGAGTTGAAGCGATTAAGACCCCTTGATATTACAATACCTAGAATGTGTGGCATCCCAAAAACTCATAAACAGGGCGTGCTACTTCGTCCTATCCTTGACATTTAAAACTCCCCATACCACTCCATTCACAACTGGCTTATCGAAAAGTTAAAGCCATTTCAGAGTTGTCAGTACCCCCAGAAGCCTGAACGACACTTTTGACCTCATAGAGGTTATCAAGGATACTAACATTGGCAAAATGATGTCATTAAAGCTATATTTTCTGTTTACTTCCTTACAGGTTGTAGAAACCATAGAGTACCGCTTTGACTTTATACGGGGACCAAACAAATAGATGGGGATGACAGAGGAGACGCTAAAAGAACTCTTGACGGGCTGCACACAAAACATACAGTTTCTCTGCAATGGTCAGTAATAGAGACATAAAGACGGAATGATGATGGGCTCAGCCCTTGGACCACTCCTCGCAACTGTCTTCATGGGCAACGTCAAAGAAACGAATTTCAACGAGACTATCAATGTCCCTGAGTTATATTGTCAATGCATGGATGATACTTTCTGCCTGAAAAATATGACCACTAATACCGATGTCTTAGTCCAGAAATTCAACACAGCCCATACAGCACTAAAATTGACAACGGAAACGGAGGAGAACAACGAGCAGATATGAGGATGGTTCAATTAAAAGCCGGATATTCAGAAAGAAAACCTGGACAGAAAAAGGCACATATTTTCAGTTTCGTTCCCCTTGATATCAAAAGAAAGATACTCCATGGATCAACAGTCAGAAAGCGCCGCACCTGCTTCTCAGAAATAGTGGAATTAGAATTGCAGCAGCTACAGAACGCCATCAGAAAAATGGCTAACCAGAAGGTTATTCTTCCGGATTATCAAGGAGCGTGGCCCAAAGGCTGCCGTTGCAACGGCATAAAAGATGGATTTATTCACAATACTGCCTGTTCTAGGAGACGCAGCAAGGAAACTGGTAAGAAGACGGCTAAGGTCAGCAGACACGAACGCCTTCAAAGCGGCAATCGTGAGCGGAGTTTCACCAACTTTCCCCTTCTGCCGATGGAGATAAACGCCGGCTACCCTTATAGACCACATCCATAGGAATTTATTCTTTCACCTACTCCTGTGGCGCAGGATATATTTGCCAAAAAACCCGAGTCTGGATAATAGAGTACGCGAATATATTCCAGCCCGGCCCGGCAAAGACTGAAACCGATCGGTTTCAAGTACAATCCTTGCCCAGTTAATCGATACGAACCATCAAATTGACGCGAGAAAGGCCTTTCAGGTCGTAAGAGTTAAGGTTAAGACGGTTAACCCTAACAGCTACAATCTACCAGGCCCGGTTCCTAAGTAGAGGAGAGAAGTCGTAGGAAGGCAAGTTCAAAAGGAACAACATATTTTTTAAAGGAGAGTTAGGCGGAAGTGGCCAATCGCTCCGGCTTGGCCGTGGGAGCTGTCTGAACGCGCGGTGTCACGCGCGTCCCACTCAGAGGGGATTCCCAAGTGATCG